AATGAATGGCTTGTCGTGAAGGCAGCAAACATTTGTAATCTTTCTTAAACTCTGGACTTTGTTTTTAATTTAATACACTGCAATATAGATTTACTAAATAATTTCAGTTGCCTTTTTATTTTTGCACCAGTGACCTCCAATGTTTCCTATATTCTTTTCTCTAAGGTAAAACCTCTGAAAAGAAATGAATCACATTGTACCTAATATATTGTAAAGAATGCGCAAATATCCTTGATACAGTTCAGCTGAGTTTTGAGCTGTTCCAGACATTATCAGCTTTGGTCGTTTTGATGTGTTGGATCTTTTTAAGCACTGACTGTACATTACAAATATGAATGATTTATCCTGTTCCTGTTAAGTTATTCAGTAATTATTTAGTTATTCAGCACTGCAGCAAGATTGTCCTGGACTTTTATGGTGTTACAGGGGGTGAGTTTCCTCTGGCTGGTGCAGTTTCCTCCCATAGCCCAAAGACATTTGAATCAGGCAAAATTCAGGTGTGAGTGTGACTTCAGCACTACAGTAGGTATGAGTGTTAATGTGTTTGTCCACATATATAAACAATGTGAAGAAGTAGCAAGCAGGTGTGCTTCCATTCCTTTTACTAAGTGCATGCTGGGACACATTGCATCCCCCGTTGTGACCCTGAAGGAGCGATTGTACATGCACATTGAGAGCCACTGTACCAGAGTCAAATTCCTCATGTATTCAACACACCTGGCCAATAAAGCTGATTCTGATTCTGATTAAGTGCAGAAAATGTATATATGGCTGAAATCTCAAGGATTATTGGCTTTAACAAGACAGTGTGACATAAACAGAGTCGGTCCACTCCTTACAATGCTGTATATTTTCTCAGGCATTATTCTTGTACAACATGCTCTCCATGACAAGAGACATTACACTAAATAACAGAGATATATTTTTTTATATGTTAACTTTCATGGAAAATTGATCTGAATCTATTGAGTCGTGTTTCCAAAGCTTCCAGAGTTGCAGTACTGAGTAGATTTAGAAAGAGCTGCATGAACATGTTGTCCTGTCTGAACCCTAATTCCTCTTCAGATTTTGCTTATCAAGTCCCCTGTAGTGTTGTTTGGTGCACAATGAAGTGTCCAATTAAAGCACTGCGGTTCCGCTGTGGACACATTTTTCTTACTAACCAAAGGTTGAACCGAGACAAACTGCCAAAAAAAATGATGTTGTATAGGATAGTTTCCTTCCTTCTTCAGGCTCACAAACCCAAAGACAGATCTCAGTCTGTTCTGTTTTGAGTATCTGCAGAAAGGAAAATGCAGCAAATATTTTTCCTTAGTAGTGTTGTTCAGCTCTAATGTCTAATAAAATGAAAAATTGTAATTAGAAACCTAAAAGGCACTGATGAGGTTAAGAAAAAGAAAAATGACAGGCCAATTTATTGATGACATAAAAGAGAATAATGCAAACAGCTGGAAGAAAAATAGAAAATCGAGTAACTGACTGAAAGACAAATGGCATGGGAGAATGAGGATTACTAACAGTGTGTTATGAATGCAGATGTTTCCACTGTCACATCTTTCTTGCTCTCAGAATGAGGCTATTAGGCTAGAACTGATTTGATGAAGACAGAATGTTATGTGAAGAATAAAATCACCTAAAAATGTTAGTGTGATGAAAACATCAGGGATGTTTTATACAGTATATAAAAATCAAAGAAAGCTAAATACCACCGCCCCTGATACTCCTATTTATATTCATAGCCTGGCATCCTGTGAGAATAAAGTTTAATTTGTTATGATGAGCAATTATGCACAAGAATATATGAGGTTAGCAATAGAGTAATGCTGCAAAAACTGTGACCAATATGGCAAGACATGCTTTATTTTACTTTTGTTCAAATGCAGAGAGGGTACAATCCACAACACAAAGCACAGCAGAACACCCAGTCTCACCTCAGAAACTACTGGAAAGAACTCTCTTAATTATACATTTACATTTTTTGAAAGTGTATTTCCCCGTGGTTACAAGTTCTTCAAATGAGTGTTTCTTAAAGTCTGTCACATTAATCCCCCCAGCCTCAGTATTTCTAATGCTGCACAGCACTTACTGTATGTGAGGAGTTAATAGCTGATCTTGTCATTCATTGACAAAATATAAATCCAACTCCCATCAGTGCCTTATAAAAGGATACACAGCACATGCACTTAATCTCAAAAGCTTACTTGGCTTGTTTATGAGTAACATATCCTATACTATTTGTAAATTTAAAATGAAAATTCTATTTATAGAATTCAGCACTTTATGTTTACACTCGGCATACTGTACATACATGCTGGGTGTAAAAGAATTTAATTATACATCCAGTTCAAGGTGTGTATTATAATAAGGTGTATTTGCAGAACTTCATGTTGAAGTGTTAGGACTACACAAACACTGAATTGACATTTAAGAACTCTCTTGAGTCTCCCGAGCTTCTATTGTTTGTTTTTCCCTTTCTTTGCTGTATTTTTAAACTGAATGCAGGTACAGTAAATAAAATGATTAGTTAATATGCTTAATGCATCCGAGTCTTCTAACACGTACTTTGAAATGGACTGTAAAAGCCTGCTGTTTGTTGTCTGCTCTGTGAATCAATACTGGAGGACTGCCAGCATGGGAGTCCAAAAAAAAATTTTCTTCAAATCAATCGGGACACGGATTTATCACTAAAACTTAATAATACCCTTTAACTGAAGACATAAGGAAAAGTTTTTCTCTCAATGGATCCTCGATGGAGGATAAAGAAAATCTCAGGATGTTATCATAGAGTCGTAATTCCTCTCAGTAATAGTGATGATTAGGAGTGAAACGTTTCAGTTTGTGGGCTTCACAAAACTGACAAAAGTTTTCCAGCTCTTAAAAAAATACAAGAATGTGATTCAGTGCGTCTCAAGGACAAACTGTATTACACTGGGTTCTATAGGCTTTTTTGCAGTTTAAGAAATCTTTCAAACTGAAAATTGATCTCTTCTACTTTCTGTTCTTTGTTTTGCAATGTTTCCAGACAAAGATGCCTAAACAAGCAAACACAGAAACAGGTGAGAGGCCTCGTATCCATGTGGATGAGAGGAACCTCTAATCCTGCTGTTTTTAGCTATGTGTGCTTATCGAAATTCACAGAGAGGGGCTGGCAAACAAAGCTGCAGCTGCACGTCGATGTAAATGAAAGTCATTCCATCGCATGGCTCTCACTGAGGCATTGTGTGCATTCTGCATCTGGCGAATCTTCTGAGGCCCAGTGTACAATGCACAAGCTGGACATTCTTGAAAATACAACCAAATCTAGAAGATTGCGCTCTGCATAAGATCATTTGGATGTTAGATGAGTCACATTGCTTCCAGGTGTCTGCAAAGATACTGCACTTATGCAAAATGGCAGGCTTAATTTCACTTTCAAAATTCCAGAAATTACTGCTATGAAAATGACACTTTTTGTATGAACCATTTCCCCACAACAGCTATCATGACCTTGTTTGTTTGTGAAAATATTTGGAGGTAAGCTCACTTTGCCAATTCCTTTGATTCATATAATCAAAAATCTGTTTTTTAATTAAAACTTGGAATGATTTCCCATTTTGCAAAAAATAAAGAAACAGAAAAAAACATCCCACAAGACATTAACTACCCTGAATGTAGAGTGATTAAATAATTTGTTTCATAAATACATATGTTAGCTAATTCTATACAATTAAATCTTAAAGTCCTGCAGTTCTGACTTTATGCAGTACTGAGCAAGACAGAGGTGGAAATGTCTGAGACAGAAAAGACATGTTAAGGTAACCAAAGTTTAAAAAACTTATGAGAAAGAATTCATTATTCAGGCAATGGAAGATTGTTACAAAATGCTGATGTGTGGTGTGTATAGTTTTTTGATACATGCATATATACTTACAGTTATGATAGCTATATATATTGGTTATGATATGAGGTTTCACTACACTGGGAGGGATGAAGAGGGGTACAAAAACTGAGTATGTGATGACATGCAATGGTTTGTGTCGTACCGTATGTTAAACCTGTGTCAGCCTCTTTTAGTATAATTACACAGGAGCTAAGCTGACAGACCAGAATGAAGAAGAAAAAGATAGTAGCATCAAGCTGATAATGACAATATCAGCATTTCTGTCTGAGGCAGAAAAAGTGAGAAATACATCAAGTTAAAGAGATCACAGTTTCTGAGAGCAGGTGGGTAGTTTTGCTTGTCTTTCTTGAGTGAGACAACTTGAGGGATGACGAAAGCACCTCGTTACCTTTGTGTCACAACATATCAAAACACTATTCAGTTATACTGAGAAGCATGAGGGATGTTCTTTTTCATCCTAAGGAAATAGAGCAGGTGGTTTTAAACTTTATGTTGACCACAGTCCAACAACTTAGAGACATTTTGTTTATTTTCTTTGAATGTTCACAGTTTATTTTAGTTCAATTTATTTTGCAATAGAGCAAGTTGCTCCATGCAGTGCAACCTGTATCCCAACAGAATTCTGTAGTTTCAATGAAATTGTACTATTCATATATTTTATTGCAAGCACTGTGGTTTTAAACTTTATGTTGACCACAGTCCAACAACTTAGAGACATTTTGTTTATTTTCTTTGAATGTTCACAGTTTATTTTAGTTCAATTTATTCTGCAATAGACCAAGTTGCTCCATGCAGTGTAACCTGTATCCCAACAGAATTCTGTAGTTTCCGTGAAATTGTACTATTCATATATTTTATTGCAAGGAATTATAGCTACAGTAAGTAAAGTACTAAATCATGCAAAGGCTACACCATATTTATTTGTAATGAATGAGGAGGAATAAATGAGGAGCTAATATTCTCATGAATGTCGAAGGAAAATGCTCTGATTTGGTGCTTTGTCTTGGGCTTTTTGCCCAAAATATACAGTATATCTGTATATATACGTATATTGTATTGTCTCTCTGAGACAATCCAGCATATAACAGCGGGGTGCAAGATGCTAGCAGGCAGGGCATACATGGAACGCCATAACCAAGTGGCTGGTATAGTGTACAGAAATATTTGTGCCGAGTACAGGCTGGAAGTACCAAAGTCAAGATGGGATACACCCCCAAAGGTGGTTGAGAATGACCAAGCTAAGATCCTGTGGGACATCAAGATAAAAACTGGTAATGGCCAACCAACCGGACATAGTAGTGGTGGACAAACAGAGGAAGAAGGCCATAGTGATAGATGTAACAATCCCAAGTGATAGCAACATCAGGAAGAAGGAACACAAGAAGCTGGAGAAATACCAAGGGCTGAAAGAAGAGCTAGAAAAGATGTGGAGGGTGAAGGCACAAGTGGTCCCCGTGGTAATAGGAACCCAAACTGGGAGAATGGCTCCAACAGATCCCAGAAACATCTGAGATCTCTGTCCAGAAGAGTGCAGCTAAGATACTGTGCAGGACCCTCCAGTGGGGAATTTATTGGCAGAGTACCTGAGCTTGAAGGAAGGCATACAAGACCGCCCCTGTGTGTGGGTTTGACTATAAGGACTTTATTTTTATTTCCCTTTTTATTTTCTTTTTTATTCTCTCAGCCTTATATTGTTTGTCTATTCGTTGCTTTACAGAAGGGCATGTACATGCACATTAAGAGCCACTGTACCAGAGTCAAATTCATTGTGTGTCCAACACACCTGGCCAATAAAGCTGATTCTGAATACAGGACCTTGAATTATAACAGAGTACTTTTACACTGTGGTACTGCTACTTTTCCTTCAGCAAAAAATATTGCTTCCATCACTGGGTTTTGGTAGCTGTAAAGAGGAAGAACAAAACAGAGCACTCAGTTGGGTGGTTAACATTATGTCTGCAGCAGTGGAGGACAGCGTTTTATTGTCAGAGCCAGCATTAACCAAAATGGACACAGGTCTGTGTCAGGGACAACGTGTAAAGCTGTTGAGGGTGAACTCAGTTATAGGGCCAGATGAGTAAAAGCAGAACACTGCCTTTAATCAGAGCACTGGTCAGAAACACAAGATAAACAAAGCAGGAGTCTGATTCAACATGTAACACTCTCAGGTCGATAATCCAGTCCAGGGTCAGAGCCAGCAAACTCACACATCCAAGGTATCCATGAGTAGAACGGTCAGTAGGGGAAGTCCATAAGTCGATGCACTGAATCCAAACAGAATCAGAAGGGTTAGGCAGTACTCAGTGGTTACAAGGCAATCCAGGGTCAGAGCTAGAATAACAGGCACAAGAAAACACGCTGGAAAGTCTAAACATGAGTTAGAACAATCTGGCAGCTTCCTGGTG